ACTATATTTCCAGCTGCAGAAATCTTTTAAAAGATTTGTATATTTAAAATAAAATGAATGAAGTTCTTTGTTTGTTCTTTGTTTTAGCTGACAATTTGTACTTTCATCCCCAATTTAGGGGAACTTAAATACAAATAAAAATTAAATAAAAATTTGCTTTGCTTTGGTTTACCAATTAAAACTTACTGAAGAAGAAAAGTAGTCTAAATAAATAAAACATAGTATTGTACAATGCCACAACTAGTTCAAGAGAAACTTCTTGATCTTGTTAGTTGGAAAGTTTCTCCGTTCCTTCAAGATAACGCAAAATTGGAGAAACCACAAAACAAACAATGTTGAATTTAGAGGAGAAGGTTCATTTCAACTTCCCATACTCTGCAGACATTTTCCCGATGGATCATTACTTTTTTAAGTATCTTTAAAAAGATTACAATTCACTGTCTAAATTGTCTTAGATTTTAAAAAACAAATGTTACAAAATCACCGATTTTTTCAAACTTTTCAAGCACAACACATAAAAATTCAATTTTTGTTAATTACAATGTTGTATTTAACGTATAATTTTAAGGAAAACAAGTACTGTCATTTTTTAAATCGATAGATTAAACAAATATCATTTTTCTAAAGCAGTCAGATTCGAGCATGAGCGTTAAGGGGTTAAATTCATATTTCGAGCGTCCACGAGTGTTCGTCGATCGCGTGCAACCCCTCCACGGCTCAAAGAGGCTAATTAAAAAAAAGAAAAAAGAGAGAAACGTTCCCCCGAAAAATTGCTGGCGACTGAATTCAGCAACAACAACGCGAAACAAAAAGGCGGGTAAATGAAAAGGAGATCGCGGTAGAAGAAAACGCTCGTGGAGGGACGACGAGCCCCCCAAAACAAAGAACGGAGAGGAACGTGGGGGAGCAAACATTAATACCACCCCGCAGACCGCAGATGTTGCGCCAATTACAAACCTCCCACCCCCGTTTGCCCTTTCCTCCGGCTACTTCCAGCTCGCGCTTTCTCGACAACCCCCTTCCGCAGTCGGAAAGGGGTGAAACAAGGAGGGGATGCCGCGTGTTCCGGACTTACGAGCCCGATGTCGCGTACCTTCCCAAGCTCTTTGTCTTTTCCCTCCGAATCTTCCCTTCGTCGTGCAGCTTAGATGCACACGGCCCCAACGAGACACGAATTTTCGAAAAGGTTCTCGCACTTTGTTAGATTAAATTTAGCACAAGGCGCAAAAGGACTCTCTCTCTTCTCTTTGTTGCTACCAGTGTGTCTTTCTTCGTCGAAAGAAGAAAGTGGTTCGGAGAACGATCACGGGGAGAGAAAGACACTGGTATGGGGGGGAGGGAAACGGAAGGGGGGGAGGAACACGGAGTACGCCGGTGGCTGATATTATTCTTGGGTCTTCCTCGCTGGTGCATTATTAGTTCTGGCGTGTTAGCATACATGAAATATTGATGTTACCAGGGCCTTCGAGCCCTCGCCCCTTGATTTTCACGTCCCTCCAACCCTTCAGACCTTCAGACCTTCCCCCCTCCCCCCACTTTCACGTCCTTTTTCACTCTGTTCCTGTTTATCGGACTTTCTCCGGAACGGTGATTTTTACGGCTTTTAAAGCCCTTCTGTTTGCTTTCTTGTAATCCACTTCTTGATCGTTTCGAGTGTATTTTTAGGGGATCGAGATTGGATTCCTTGCTCTCGATATTTACACGCACGCTGGCAATCCGATTCATTTCCGTTCTTCCTTGTTTGTTGAAACGATTCCGAATATCGCGTATAGGGAGTTACGCATCGATTTGCAAATACGCGATTATGCTTCCAATTATGCCTTTGTTTATACATTCGACGTGCACATGCACTTGAACAGTAAATACTTCTCTACACTTGAATTTTTATTTTTATTAAGAACAATGATTGTTAAATATTCATACAAGTGTTGCTCTATTTTCTATATTCTTAACTCTTCATTGTTCTGAGGAATCAATTTTCAATGTTTTTAGTTACCAGAACAGTTTCTAAAATGATCACGTGATTTCTAATAATTCTTTGGGAATACTAAAAGGTAAAAACAAACGAAAAATGCTTCCATCGCAGCTTCCATCAAGGATTGAATTTTTACTAAAAGGATTGATTCTTAACCGAATTGGACGTTGAAGAATTGATTCGAAAAATCCATCGCTTTGAAACAGATCGATTTTCCAAGGAAAGAAAGAATGATTATAGTTTGCATTATTAATGAAACACTTGTTTACAGAAGAATATCACAAACCACTTGTTTCATTTACTATTTTTTAATTCACTCCCACCTTTTTAATGTCTCACTGACTGTAGAAAGTACTTTTTCGATGCAAGTCGATTCCAGAATCGATTCTTCGAGAGTTCGAACATTTTTAAATCGAACTTTGCCTCGGAATCGGGGTTTACATTTACTATGGCGAATGTTCAATGCATATAAATCCTTAATTTAGGGTTTATGTTGTTGAAAGTTTCCAGCGGGAAGGCTTTGAGCAGCTTTGTAGCTTTTAATTTTCGACCGCCTTACAACGAAGTTTCACACGCAACAGACTTCAGAGCGAAGCATAAATTCGCCTCTCCCGTAAACTTGCAATTTTGCAAACATCAGACTTCATGATGGAATAATAAGCACTTTGGATTATCCCACTTAGGGATGATTAAATTAACATCTGCATTACGGGATACTAAATGTTTAGTTTAATACGATTCGAAGAAAATGTTTTTAATTAATACTGCATTATTTAAATACAGAATAAAATTTTTACAAATATATCATTTGTCTATTTGTGGTCTTCGTAGAGGCTTGCAGAGCTTTTCTTAATTTTTTTTTTTTAATTTCTCGATAACTTAAAAGCTTTAGAAACCATGAAAGATGCAACTGCAATTCTCTGCAATTTAGTGTTTATTATTATACGTTTTTATTATTGTACTTTGGTCTTATTAACACTTTACCGACCGATAGCCTATTAATCGACTGTTTTACCGGCCAAACACTTACCGACCGATAGCCTGTTAATCAACTGTTTTACCGACCAACGCTTACCGACCGATAGCCTGTTAATCAACTGTTTTATCGGTCGGTAAAGTGTTAACTTGTAACTTTAAGCTTATTAACTTTATAAAAATAGAAAAGTATTGTTTAAACGGGGTTGATAATATTCAGTAACTAAAATTGAATTCACTGTGTATTTCTAGGCAGAATAGAAGCAAACGGAAACCTGGCGAACGAGACACGAAATGGGAAAGTGAAATCGAAAACTGTCACAGTTGCTGCGGGGTTAATTAAGTTTCCCAAGGTTCTTTGATGTACTTAAGGTGCGTTGTTTCGTCCGTTAAATTTATCTTAATGTTGCAGAGTGTCGAAACAGCCAGAAAGTCACGATCGATTTCAAGGATTTTCGAAAGGTATTGCTGGCCTTGCTTAAACAACCAGGTTAATTATTGGAAATTTAAAACTTGTCTAATTATAGGTTCCCGACTAACATTTTCCAATAAGTTCATTCCGTGTTTCAGTTTTAATTATTTCGATGGTTATTTTGCACACGTATTCGGGTGCTTTGAAAGATTTGGATTCCCCTTTAATTTTATAATTTCAATCAGCTTAACAGTTTCAATTTGCGGGGCTCTTGAACGCGAATGAATTTTAAATACAGCTCAGTTTTCAGACAAACATACTCGATTTTTATTGCATAGAGAAATACTCTAAATTATCAAGATGAGAACCGTGTGAAAAGCCAAATATTTTATTGTCCACCTAGCAATTTAACTAGAAATATTAAATAGCAATTTAAAATTCATATTGAATATTAACTTTAATTTCATTTTAATATCAGGTATATCGGGCGAATTATTTTGATAGAGTGAGCAACATTGGAAATTTTAATGTGCAAAATCGTTTATTAAACTATTTAATCGTACATAAATATTTAAAGATGTATGTTAGCAAGTTTTAAGCTCGTATCGAGCAAAAATAACACCTTAAGTAACTTCTAACAGTGAAATGTACAAAAGCAATTGCTTCGAATCATCGACTACGCGATCTAAAGAGATTTTTCTCTATTCGACTGTTAACTTTATCGCATTATTACATTTTTGTTGCATTTCTGCCCGTTTCCCTCCTTTCCCCGAGTTTTCCCGCCGGAGATGTCTGAGTGATCGATGCGTTCGTCGAAAAAAGATCAAGATTGAAGAGAATGCGTTTCACAGGTAGACTCGAAGGGAACTTTTTGTCATTTACATTTACTTTTCCCAAAGTCCCGTGAAATTTCCATGCGTCTAACCTGCTTGATGTTCTGTTCGCGTTATTAATGGAAATTCGACGATCATCGCGAACACATTGCAATAAGTACAAAGCAAAAACTCTCAAAATTTCGTGTAATTCAATTAACAGTTCACGAGATTGACTCTAAGAAAAACTAGGTGAAAGTTTCATGAAACTTCTATTAATAAATACTAATAACAAGGCATAAATTGAAAGGTTAATTTTAATAAAAATAAAGTAAATTGTATGAGTTATTTTAAAACCATACTATTTGTAGATCATTCAGTTAAAATTATTAAAATTAATAATATTAAAAATAAACTAATTTCATATGCAATTGATTGTGCAATATAAACAGTGATTTATTATTTCAAAATTATAACTAATACATACTGCTTATGAAATTAAATCATTCTTCGAAATTGCAGATATTAATTAACTTCAGTGATTTAAAATATGGTATTTATCCTCCAAAAAATATTTCTGAATAATTATTTATCGTCATGTGTGAACCTAAATTTCAGTATCATGTTTTTGATTGAATTTTTAAATTACTATATTTGCAAACTCTTAATTATTAGTATGTCCCTTTCATAGATCGTTTTCGAATGAATAACGTGGAAAATTCAGGCAGAACGAACGAGTTTCCCTTGATCTTCGATGTTTAGTATCTCAACTTGTTTGTAATTATTTTCTATGTACGAATTTCTTGATTTTAATGAATAAACTCACCTGCTTTCATGTTTTTTTCATTGTGAGTGGTCAGTGAGCTTGGATTCCCGTAAACGGAGTTATTCAGTTCAGCCATCATGTCCCAGTCTGTAATTCCAAGTTCGTCAAGCCATTAATTCAGTAAATTAAAAATAATTCATACATTTAAAACAAAATTAATTGTCGATATTCTCCCCCCGAACAAGTAATCGAACGTTCGAAAAAATTTCTGCGTAACTCCACGAGCAAATTAGAAAGCGTAAAGATGAAAAAACGTGTTTAGAATTGAGCGGCGTAACGAGGAGCGGAAACGTAAGATAAAGAAGACCCAACCGGCGGTGGAAAGAAGCTCTTAAAGCGGTATCGAAAAAAAACTAGAGGCACGCCGTGGTTTCCGCGTGATGAAATATCATTTTCCCCCGCGATTAAGGGAGGTTTTACGAGCTCACCTTTCTTCGGCAACTCGGTGGTGGACGGACTGGGGCTGGTGGTCGGCGGCGAGGACTCTGCAACGAAAGAAACAAGTTTTTATTTTTAATTAAAGTTTCTTCCCTTCTGGCATAGGCGCGTGTGCCGTTAGAACGTCGGTGGGGGGGGTGGTTCTCGAGGGGTGGAGGGAGATAGGTGTGCCAGGAGAGGCGTGGATGCTGCAGGGACCCGTTATGGATCGCGCCACCTGTTACTAACTTCGCCCTCGAACGTATTAGCCCCCGTGGCGCCGGCCAGGCCGGCCAAACTCCAGATCATATTTTACAACCCCACCACTGGCCCCCCCCTTTCCCATCAGTCCCGTCGCGACGGGTGAATATAGTTGAATAATTATTCCTAATATCGTCATCCGTCCTACATACTCGTCGTCCTTCGCGAAATCCTTGTTCTCCTAGTCACGCGGAGGTTAGCAGCTGCAGCTGGCTACAGATCACCCTAACTTCCCCTACGTAAGGATAGGCGTACCAATAAGAATATTTACGACTCGTCCAACATTCCGTTACATTCAATCCTACATCGCGGGTCGTTTATTTTCGGGGGAAGAGAGTTTTAGAAGGATCTTGGTAGGTTCGAAGTCATTTTTACGATGATAAACTGTGTAATGGTCTGCTAGACCAAATTCTTTAGATTGTTTACACTTGTCCAGAGAATTGGAAACCAGTATACCCACTATTTACCTCGTTGAAGTTCAAAAACCCTATCTAGATTTATTTTCTTAACTTCTAATCTCGAGAATTAATTCTATGAGGTTTTTCCCATTTTACGGGGTTAAGCAACAAATTATTGAATATTTTTAGAATTTCTACATATTCTTGACTAAATTACGCGTCGTTTGCTTTTTTAAACATTAAAATCCGTCGATCCGTTCAAAAGTTATGACGTTTTAAAGATACGCATGAAATTTCAGTGAAACATATCAGTGGTATGGTCAGACACAATTTTCGGTGAAGAATTTTTTTCTCGAAACTGAGTAGGATTTCGAGGATATATCTATTGACCAAAAATGACTGCGATTGACCCCTGCACCCGATAAAAATTTTTTCAGAACGATTTGAAATTTTTTTTTTTTCGTCGAAAATTTAGACACGTACCCCCTGTCGATTTTCCTTAAAAGTTCGTTTTTAATTTTTAGTAATTTTATTTGACGCCCTATAGAAAAATTGTCTAATACTTTTTTGTAGATGTACATGAGCTCTACTTCAGAAAAAAGTTTCATTGAAATGTGTTCACTATTGTAGGAGTTATGGCCATTTGAAAATTGCACCATGTTTATGAGGTTTTTTCTCATTTTACGGGGTTAAGCAACAACTTATCGAATATTTTTAGAATCTCTACATATTCTTGACTAAATTACGCGTCGTTTGCCTTTTTAAACATTAAAATCGGCCGATCCGTTCAAAAGTTATGGCGTTTTAAACATACGCATCAAATTTCAGGGAAGCATATCAACGTATGGTCAGACATATTTTCGGTAAGGAATTTTTTTCTCGAAAATGGTTAAGATTTCGGGGTATGTCTAGTCATCAAAAATGCTTTGTAATTGACTCCTCTAACTAAATATAATTTTTTTAGTACGATTTGAAATTCTTTAATTTCGTCTAAAAAATTCAGTACCTAATCGAATTTTTTTCTCGAAAATGGTTAGGATTTCGGGGTATGTCTATTCATAAAAAATGCTTTGTAATTGACTCCTCTAACTAAATATAATTTTTTTAGTATGATTTGAAATTTTTTCAATTTTGCCAGGCACCTACCCCTTGTCAATTATTATTAAAATTTGTTTTTCTTTTTTAATAAATTTGTTTGACGTTGTATGGAAATTTTGTCTAATACTTTTTTGTAGGTATCCATGAGCTCTACTCCCTTACTAAATTTCATTGAAATCCATTCACTATTGTCGAAGTTATGGTCGTTTGAAAATTGAATCAAGTTTATGGGTTTTTTTCTCATTTTTCGGAGTGAAGGAATAAGTTTTTGAATATTTTTGGAATTTCTACATATTGTTGACTAAATTACGCGTTGTTTGCTTCTTGAAACATTAAAATCCGTCAATTCGTTCAAAAGTTATGGCGTTTTAAAGATACGCATGAAATTTCAGGGTTACATTTATGGCCTCATATTAGATTTTCGGTAAGGAATTTTTTTCTCGAAAATGCGTACGATTTTCGGGGTATGTCTAATAAACAAAAATGATTGTGATTGACCCCTGTGCCCGAAAATATTTTTTTCAGAACGATTTGAAATTTTTGAATTTCGCCGAAAAATATTTATCACCTACTCGAATTTTTTTCTCGAAAATGGATAGGATTTTAGGGGTGTGCCTATTCACCAAAAATGCTTATAATTGACCCCTGCAACTGAAAATAATTTTTTCAGAACGATTTGAAATCTTTTTTTTTCTCAAAAATTTAGACACGTACCCCTTGCTAATTTTTCTTCAAAATTTGTCTTTAACACACGATAACATCATGATAAACTCTCAAAGGGGATTCATAACATAAATATCCATAAAATTATTGCCTTAAGAAACGGTATGAATTTTTTCAAGTCGATGGAAAGTGAAATTTTCTGATTTCTATATCGAACGTAATCTTGTTAGTTTTTGTTCTTCGATCTTTTCGAAACGGTGGCAATTCCAGTGATCGAGCATCCCGGAAGGAAATCGTCAAAATTACTCGCGCGAAATTCCGCGCCAGACACGAGCAAACTAACTCGCGTCAGAGCGTGACGCGTCCATCGCGAAAAAGTCATCGTTATTTGTCACGGACCGCTGAGCGATTGCTCGTATGTGGAAAGTGCGCGGCCACATTCCACGGGATACTTTCACGGTACCGAAGGCAAATAGGATGAAATGACAAAGTGTGCTTCTTGGCAGACGTGTTTACGCGCGTGGACATAATGCAAACATGGCCCCTGTGTTTTCATTGCGAGATAAGGCTTAACTTACATCCACAGTCGTTCCCTTCCTCCTGAAATTCCAGTCGAAACAATAGATCCCCCCCTACCCCCCCTTTGGTACCTTTATTACATTTTTATATCAATATATTTGATCAATAAATTGTTTCCATAAATTTCAAATACATCATTTTTTCTGTTTTGCAAACTAACGTTAGTAACGAAACAAATTGTTCGTTATAAAGGCAACAGAAAATGAGAATTTATTTACACGTAAAAATATTGAATTTATAGAGACAATTTATTATATAATATAATGCAATAATATAGTAGTTTTTTACCAAAAAGGTACGGGCTATTAAATGGAACAAATAGCAAGGAAATTATTGACTCGATTCAGCGTGTTTCACTTAAACCGTAGTTTCAGAATGTAACGGGGGAAGTATTTACATCGTGTTAACGTCAAAGTAACATTTCCATTACGATGTATATTTAATTTTAATTGCATGTTTGTAATACCTGAAACACAGCGTGCACGATTCTTGCTAATTTAATCACTAGGAAGTGATTACAAAGGTAAACAACTTCCAACGATTCATTTCATATTACAGGAACTGAATTTCGTCATTTATTCGCTTTAATTAATCGGTACGGTGATTTGTTTTCCATGCATTTGATAAATATGTCGAGATTCTTGGACAAATTTTTTTTACGTGCACATTTCAATTCAATTATTTAATATTAAGACTCGAGATCACTCTATTATGAAGAAAAGAACCTATAGTAGCATTTTAGTTAATTTTAAACGAAAATTCATAAAACTTTACAACTTTTCGTACACGTTTATTCAAATTACACAATACCAATGGAAATTTTAGCTTTTTTACTTTCCAATCGAACGAGAATCCGATGACCGTAGTTTCGGCTGAGGATTCCTCGCCACGGTTAATAGTTTCAGCGTTCGTAAAGCCAGAAGAGTGAAAAGCACGAAATTACGTGAATTCTTAAAGTTGCTAGCGTCAATATAAACGGGAACGAAACTGTCTGGGAATCTCAGTTTACGGTGTTCGAATGCAATAAACCGATTTCTGAAGCGTGAGAGCTTACTTTGCGTCAAAACATCGTTTCCGGACTGTTAAAAAACGAAACTGGAGCAAAAGCAGAAACGAATAAAGGTAATAGAAAATATTGTATCGAACTAGGAGGCAAACGCCAGCCAATAGGAGCAATTATTTATGCCCCGTTCAATTATTTTTCAACCGGGATTATTGATCGTCGGAAAGGTGGCATTGCATTATTCAGTCGGCGTTTCGCGAGCAAATTAACGAGTTCCGGGAGTCGAAAGAATATTTTCGTAACGGACACATCCTCCCCGACGTTGATGTTAAAATAGTAGCTGACCATGTTGACCCTTCCCGAAAAAAGAAACGAATATAAAAGCTCCTGTCACACAGCTACGGTCATATTCGTAATAGAAAAGTGTCATTGTACAGCCACGGTGACTAGAATCTTGAATATGTCACTGTTATAATCGACTCAAGTATTAATTGTTCATTTGAAAAAGCTGGGTAAACTGACATAGATGAATTATGTATTGTTTTATAGAAGAATTTAGATGAATTTTATGTCTTTCAAGGGTATTCAGATTTTTATACATTCCACCTTCTTTAATATTTTTATTTTGGAGTTTGGGTTACTGGAAAAATTACAAAAGAAAGATTAACCTTCTATAAAAATATTTAACACCAGATTTCAATTGATGAATACACTGAAATACGTTTTTTTTTAAATATCGTCTAAAAAAGTAATATTTACGATTTTTGTAACTTCAAATAATAATAAATATGTAGAATGATGAATATATGTTGTTTTATAGAAGAATTGTGATGAATTTTATGTCTTTCAAGGGTTTTCAGATTTTTATACATTCCACCTTCTTTAATATTTTTATTTTGGAGTTAGGCTCACTGGAAAAATTACAAAAGAAAGATCAACCTTCTATAGAAATATTTAACACCAGATTTCTATTGATGAATACACTGAAATACGTTTTTTTTTAAATATCGTCTAAAAAAGTAATATTTACGATTTTTGCAACTTCAAATAATAATAAAAATAGACT